CCTTTCCTCACCACACACGCTCGTTGCCTCGATTAACCTCTCTACATTCTGCCGGCTACGGAAATCTGTCTTGGGATACGGTGTCTTTTCCTCTTTCTCTTCTCTGATCTGCTCAGCTTCACTTTCCTCGAGTTGCTCGACTATGCTACTTATAACATACGATACGGATACCCGAACGCTGCCGCTCGGACGGTACTGTCGAGCGGGCGAAGCGTTTTCGCACAATTATATCTTCATTGCTATACCTTCTCGTGTTCTCATCGGTCGGCGTTCGGTTATCGGCCTCGTCTATCGTAGGATAGAAGTGCGGATGATTCGATGGCATTCAGTTAACATAAAGCCCCTTGACGACCACGTCCGAACCGTGTAGTGCGGCGGTCGCTATCCACGGCACTCGTCACCACCAACATGAACACATTTTGCCCGAGAACAGTCCAAGCAAAATGCTGGGCATGATTACCCATTTTGACCAAAGGCAGGAAAAGAGCACTCTCCCCCCAAACCCCGTCAAAACGGGCAATCATGCCCATCATTTTTCGCCGCAAAAGAAACCCGTGTTGTGAGCGCGTGGTCGGTCGCAGCTTCGCAGTGAACGGCCACCTCCTTCCATGCAATTCAATGAAGATCCTTAGTACTACGTCTATGACCCCGTCGCTCGATCCTCAATGAAGGTTGGCAATCGTCATCTTTAAAGGTAGTCTGCGACATATGCCACAAATATGCCTCATGCTTTGACTCGTATAAACATGCTCAAAGAGTTGAACGACAGCCTCCACACAGGCGTGCATTCTTTGTGGAATCTCGGCCCGTCAAGACTGTTTATATCCGTCTCCCTCGTGTATTCGCCGCCCTACATATGCAGTCCCTGCTCTCGGCCCTCAGCTTCGCCGTTCTACTACCGTCTCGCTACGATCCGCTCAACGCGAAATGTCTATGGTCATCTCGCGCCACCGGAAGCCGAACCTTGCGCATGATCTCGAGCGCCTCAAGAACGAGTTGAGACGCGACCCTCCTCAAGTCGTCGCTCGCTTTCGACGTCTCCTCGCCGAGTCGAGCGGCTTCGGAGACCCGATACGTTCGACGGATTTCCGAGCGCTTCTCGCTGACCTCACCATCGCTGTTGTGCGACTGTTTGAAGAGGACAACACGAGGGCGGTCGACTTGGTGGAGGCTGGCTTGGTCGAAGCAGTCATCGAGGTGGTCGAGTTGAAGGACTATTTCTCCTGGCCAGTGGTGTGTCCATTACCTCTCCGGCTCTCCCTATGAGCCAGTGAGACCCCTCGTTGACATCCATCATGTAGTTTTGGCGCGCTAAACCACTTTTTGTGCTTTCCGTCACGATAGAGCACGCCGGGCGGGTCAGCACAGATGCTAGGGATAGGATATTTCGCACGACAACGCGGCTGTTCAAAGGCATCTGGGAACGCCGCGACATCGTCAGGTTAGCCGATCCCGGCGTGTACCATCTTGGCGGTGCGGTAGATGATTCGACTGCATTGTCTACCCTCCTCGAAGCGTACTATCTGATATATCGTTTGTGAGGCTCAGTCTCGATCGCTCATGCTAGGCCTCAATGCTGAGTGTTCTTCCTTCTCCAGCGCCGACCGTGCACCCGAGCTGGACACCTATATTCATCACGTTCACATCCTATTATGGGTCTTGTCGCGCGAGGAGGATGAAGTTCCGGGTATCGCGTTTCATGGCATGCTGACGACGTCGCTTTTTTCGGCATGGGGCCCAAGCCTGAAAGACATGCAAACGGCGGAGAAGGAGATAGGACCAACTCCGGAGGCATACCTGGACGTTTCCGCGCGCCTCGTAAGAGAGAGTATCATCGAGGGCATGGGACCGGATCGCTTTATTGCCGCGTGCGAAGCCGAATTGCGAGGTCTCATTCGGCACCTTGAATGCAGCTGCGGGAATGGAGTCCACGATGTTCAAGTTCTTGTGCTGCACGTCGTTACCCATGACGATGTGATGCCTACTGTTTACAAGCGGGACCTACTTGTGCAAGCTTTGGACGCACTGAAATTACTCTTTGAGAACGAAGTTGGCGCTGGCAAGTGCACTAGTCTTTGCATGTCTTGCCTGTATCTGGTCCAGTAGGACATGACCGTTCTTGTTTCTGCGATCAGCTCACTCATGCATGTTACCAGGATATACTACGTGTACTCAGCCAGGGCGGCTGTGAAGTCGGCAGAGCCCCATCGGCACCCGGACATTGTCGATCTATATGTGATTGCGATGGAACTGGTAGCCGCAGGATGCAGTCTGACTGTGTCCAAAGGAGGTTCGTGCCCAGTTTTGCAAATTGCCTGACGTGTCTGAGTAATGCACAGACATACACGGCGCGATAACGGCGAGCCTGGGTGATATCATGCAGCGTATACAAGACAACAAGCTTACTGCTGGAAACAACTCCCCGAAGTACATATCGGCGCTTCAACATCGCGCAGCTTTATACTGGTATCCAACGCTGCAGCGTCTGCAACGGGCGGTTCCCACAATTGAACGAGAACGACAGCTGCGCACTGTCAACCTTGCAGAGACATCTACTGTACTTTATACCTGGATTGCATTCGGCGCTCTCCTCGGGCTCGATGCCAATGAGCAGCGTCGACGTCACGAATCCGATCGTTTACAGCGTTGTTGGTGGCGTGAATGCCAGCGCTCACGCGACAGAGGCGATGCTACTGTGAAGCTTCTTGCATGCGCAGGTTGCGGAGAGGTACGTTACTGCAACAAACACTGCCAGCGCCTGTGAGTTCGTCCTCTGATCGAATTACAACTACTCACGAGACGATCATGGCTTCAGAGATTGGAAAATTGGAGGACATAAGCGGATGTGTCGAAGACTCAAATGAAGTTAGATGCCAACCCGTACATATGCAATCAATCACGGGAATAGTTTCCCGTCTTATATGTCATACTTATGTGAAGTTGACGCGTCCCGTTACTCGACTCGATGTCTCGTTTTTGGTAGCCCGCAGAATGTCATGTGACCGCGTAACGCTTTCGCGCGCTTGGATCAAGTCTGAAAGACCCACCAGCGCTGTCATGGGGAGCTCGGAGAGCTCTAGCAAACGAGCGAACCAGGAGATCACTGGTATCGCATCCCATGGGTCGCCCAGGTCTCCTGGCATGGTGACATCGTGCTTCTCGATATGAGACGGTGACATGTCAGAGAGGAGCACGATCAGCACGTTGCGCGACAGGAAGATACGAAGCGGCTTGAGATGACGAGGGGATGCTATCAAGCGTGCTACGGTGAGATCAATATTGAGAGAGAGCCTGTGTTCGTCTATCGCCAACGATTCTGAATGCGAAGAATGGTGCAAGACTCCGAGCGAATGCTCCTTCTGCTGTGGCGTGATGGGCGCGGAGATATTGTCGGAAACGTCGAAGGGTTTAGTTGCATCGCAAGATGGTATTGTTGCATATGGGTGAATGAGTATGGCACGTAGTCCTTGAGTCCAGACTTCCAATAATAGATGTCGCATTAAACATACAGCTTCAAGCCTGGCGACCTCGTGCGGGAAAGGATAGGTCGACTAGCACACAGCAAGCCAGGGCAGCGTCGAGTTTTTGACGATATACTCGCTCATAACCAGCGCTATGCAATCTCATGCTCAGCGAGAAGCTGCACGACGCGTCAGCTTTGCAATAGCGAGGGCTACAGGCGCAAGCGCACCATATTTGGGATGCCGCTGGAGATGGGATATACATGTCCGCAATTCGGGCACGTCATGGATCCCTCCTCGATATGAATCTATGAACAAAGCTACGTGAGTGCGCTCGGATCCGCGTATGTCACCCACACACCTCCATCAAGACATGATGCAGCTTCTGCAAAAACTCATCATCGAGCATCTCTGGCGGCTCTAGCGGCAAACTCTCGTCGCCCAACTGTACATTCTCCATTAGTAACTCCCCCACTCCCACATTTTCTGGCGCTACAAACGCACCTCTCTTGCCGCCGAGACCAACGCACTCCATTCCAATCTTGGGATGAACCCGCGCAGAAAGTCCGCGTTGAACTCTGCTTCACGGAGCGCAAGTTGAGCATCTTTTATTTGTAGCGGGAAGTTGTTCGTCGTGCATCCTTTCGCGTGACATGCAAGTAGGTTGTGTGTTATCAAGCGAACCATGGCGCGAGTCGGAGAATTTGAGAGGCGTGTAGAGGGAGATCGAGATGGTCGGCTTGAGCAAGTGGCCCCGGCGATCATGCGAAATTGATTGCTGGCCTTGGACAGTTCCCGCGGCATGCTTGTCTTTCCATTCCGTCTCAAGACTGTCCATGTATAATCATCATCCAATCTCTTCGTGGTAAACGATGTAGGTAGTATACAAGAGGAAAAGACAACAAAAAATGTAACATGATACGAGTAGGGATCAGGGGTGTCCAGGGATATCGACTTCCGAATGTTCGCGCCAAGACGGCCGCGGCCGCCTACATGGGGCCCTTGTTCATGCCGCTGTTAGGCGGCGGGCCGGCAGGAGGTGCATAGTAGTCCGGAGGAGCGGCAGAGCCGGTGACATGGGCTTGGGGCGGTGGGCCAGGAGGCTGCGCGTATGGGCGTCAATGTCTAAGCATGCGCATGACTGTGACAGGAGTCTAACGAGACTTACAGGAGCGTATGACTGTCCGCTGTCATACCCGTGCTGTGGGTAAGGTGACTGTTGGCCGTACGGGGTCTGCGGTGGGTACTGGGGAGCATATCCGCCCTGGAACTGTCCTTGTTGCGGATAGTTCTGGTTCTGGTTATACTGCTGCTGGTTGATATACGCCAAGTTGGCCTGCTGGATCCGTCGCCGGCGGAGGTACCCGAAGTAGAGGGACAAGGCGAGAACGGCGGCAACTGTAGCCTATGTCAGATACTGGGGGAGGAAGATGGTAGGCCAACGCACAAATGCCCACTGCGATTCCTACACGGGCGCCGACCGACAATCCATCACAGCGCTCGAATCTATTGTACAATCAGCTACAGGCTGATAGAAGTATTGATAGACACGCACCCTCTTGCGTCGACAAAGCAATCCGCCCGAACACCAGGAAGGAGAACTGCCGCAAGCAGCAAGCTCGCAACGCGCGGCGCGGGAAGGGTAAATCGTGATGTCATGATCAAATTCAAACAAAGCAAGTGGTCTGTTCAACAGAACTGCAACATGTCCTCGGTCAACGCAACCGATAACGAGCAAAGCGAGCAAGCGTACATGTGTGGGGTAGGTCGTGAGGGTAAGAGGTAAAGTCAGGCTCCGAAGCTCCTTGGCGATATATGTACGTATTTTCCCGCACTGGGCCAAGGAGAGGGGGTGGCACTGCCTCGGCGCCCCGTGCCTGACGCGGTCATTGTCTCGCGGGAAGTTGACAACCATTATCGGCCGTCCCGGACTGCTGTATCGCTTCTAAGACTCTCAAGAAACTGCGCATAGTACGGTGCCACTAGTAAGCGATACGCGTGACTTGGATAAGATAGCCTTGGAAGAACAGCTGTAAGCGCTCGCTCACGTATCCACATGTGAATGCGGTGGTACTAGTCCATTCCTACAGAGGTAGCCGAGACAAATACATCGGGTGGGCATAGCATCCGACCGACTCAGAGTCATAGGTGTGCGCGAGAGAGAGACTACTAGTAGCCCGAACGTCCATTCGGAGCGTCATCGACGTTCACAATTCACGCTTGAAGCTTGCAGTTCGGCTCGACGCTCGACAGTAAAGATGGATTGACATGTGCCAAAAGAACACTAGCATAGACGATGATGAACGTCAGACAGTGTACTGGGGCGAGAAAGGGTCCCATATATCGTCCGAGCTATGGCCCGGTTTGACCCTTCTCCTTGAGAACTAAACAGGCTGAGCAGGCCTGGTAGACTTGTCCGCGATTGGTGGTCCACCGGGAGTTAACATGTACAGAGGCGGCGCCTCGCTCGAGCTTGAGCCAGAAGCGAAGGGCTGTTGACCTGGCGGCGGACCCGGCGGCTAGATGCACATCAGGAAGGGAAGATCAAACGGACTGTCGGGCGACGTACAGGTGCAAATTGAGCCGAACCGTCGCTGAACGGAGCTTGAGATGCGAAGCCGGCCGGGGGTACAAGTCCACCCTGAGGTGGTGGACCGGGAGGAGGGGCGAAGAAAGCCGGTGCGGGAGCCGGACCTGGTGGCGGCGGAGGATTCGTCGGGATGGGGACGAAGGGAGGTGCTTCAGCCGCGTGTATTGCTGACCTTCGGCGCCGAACCATCCCGAAGGAAAGAGTGATGAGGATGATGACAAACACGGCTATAGAGGGCGTGAGCATATGTCCGTGCGGAGGGTGGACCGCTACTGACCAACGCCGATACCAATGCCTACGCGAGCACCAGTAGACAGACCATCGCAACGATAACGGCGGTCGCTGAGAACGAGTCAGCACAGTATGCTATAGGACGGTTGGGCCACATACCCGTCGTCGTCGTCCTCAAAGAAGCAACGCGCCTGTGCAGCAGGTAACATTGTTGCGAAGAATAAGAAAGCCGCTAGCAAAGGCCGCGGCCTCGCTTGTATGATGGTTCCGAGAGCTGTCCGATGTCAAATGGTCAGTCCCTGACTCTTGACCGAGTCTTTGAGATGTACTCACAGGGCATCAGGCGTGAAGACGTGAAGACGCAACGAAGAGCGGGGGGATGATTGAGAAAGTGAACAGCCGACAGCAATGTGAGCTTCCGGCTCGTAGAAGGAATTGTAAAGATAATGAAGTTACGTGGGCAGAGATACAGAGTTGTGTTATTCCAGCGCGCAGATCTTATATGCGTTCATATCAGCCCCTCAAACGCGAGGAATTGACCGTGCAGTGACCGCGTCACCCGTCAGCGTCTGTCCCCAGTCGTACACTCGGCACCATACATCAGATAGATTTCTTTTGGGGTCAAGAATGCAGTTCGGTGAAAGCTGTGAAAGCTTGCCATTCGCTCACGCGTGCCTAGCTTCGAACTGTGAGTGTATACCCCTCGCACGCGCCATCAGAGCGCCAGCGCCGGAGGCATGAGCGGGCGATGCTCGAAGCTCGCCTCGGGCGACACGGCGGCATCTTTCAACGGAAGACACAACCTACCGGTATCGAGGCCTATAAATAGCTCGAAGTTGAGCATCAGGTCTCTCCAAAGCTGCTAGTCGATATCTGGAAGACCTGGAGGAGTTCAAATGCGCCACAACAGCCAGTGTCATGATGGCGAAAGGCAAAGTATATCATAATAATCCAGTGTTGCGGAAGCGCTCAACACGGACAGGAGGTATACCCGCGCGTTCGAATCTTGGAGTGGCCTCGGCCGAGTGCGTATGGACATTTTCGCATGTCAAGGTAGGCGCAGAGTCGTCGAAAGGTTCACGCAGAGTAATGCCGGGCGATTCGGTCCCATCGACCTCAGTCGAGGACGCATGAATAAAAAAGCTAGAGCTACGAAACACGAATCTACCCGACCACAGCCATATGATACAGAACTATATGCACAGGTAGAGTACGACCTTATTAGACCTGCTCGGCGGCCTTCGCGCCAGCGAACGACTTGTCTGCGAGCTGCGCCATGGGCGAGCCTGGCGGGGGCGCGATGTACGCCGGCGGTGCCTCGCTTCCGGACGCGTTGCGAAGATGGCTGGGGGGAGGACCGGCAGGCTGTACGCATCACGGACGTCAGATCAACGGATCAGAAAGAAATGTCAAACTGGACGCACAGGAGCGAACTGGGCGCCGTTGTCGAGCGGTGCTTGGGATGCGAAGCCCGCTTGAGGCGCAAAGCCGCTTCCAACTGGCGGTGGACCGGGGGGTGCAGCATAGAACGTCGGAGGCGGGAGCTGGGGAGGCGGGATGTTGTTCGGGACGAAGGGTGGAGCTTCGGGTGAAGAGTTGTGCGAGCGGCGACGCTGGTTCATGATCAAAAGGAAGATGAGGATGAAGACGAATGTGGCTGGGGTAACGGTGAGATCGAGTCTGATGTACGTGGGCAAGGAACGTACAGACGCCAACAGCGATGCCAACACGGGCACCGGTGGACAGACCGCAGTAGCGGTCGCTGAGTGTTCGTCAGTAGCTGACTGTACGTTGAGCGGCAGACCACGCACTCATCATCATCGTCGTCATCGTCATTGAAGAAGCAGCGCGCCTGAACGGCAGGCAGCGCCGCCGCGTAGAGGAATGCAGCGAGCGCAGGTCGTGACATCGTGAAGCGGGTAGAGACTGCGGTGGTCCTTCTGGTAAGCCCACTCCTCGTATTATGACGGTAGAAATCACTCACGGGACATGTTTCGTGAAGAAAAGAAAAAGATGGTGTTGCGAAGAAATGGGACCGGCCGAGGGAACGATGGACGACAAGGACGCCATTATATACCACAAGCGCCCGCACGTGTAGACGCTTGATGCGGATGATCTGCCGATCAACAAGGAGCGCGGGGCTGTGCCGGGTTCCTGCCATGTACTCGCTCTACGTATCTTGACCACATAGGGAGTAGACGTACGACTTGAGAGTCACTGCAGTACTCGTGTTGCGACATATGCAGCTTTTGAAATGAGTGACTGGGTTGTGACGATCCCGAGCGAGGGCATGGAAGCGTTTGCTATTCCGCGTGTCTTGAGCAGTCGAGCACTGCACATCAGATGTCAATCTCAAACGAGGGTCCAAGTCCGGCTTGTCAAGGTCTTGTGGGCAATGAGATCAAACTTGGCTCGGCCGTCACACAGTGCATCGGATGAGGCGCCTGTACTAACAGTCGCTGCAGAGCTCCCTAACAGCTGGCCCTTTCAGACAAAGCATCCATCTCGCTTCTCATTACAGGCGCTGGCCATGCTTTTTATGCTTCCAGACAGCATAGCATCAGGAAGTAATGCGGTACAGGTAAAAGGCAACCAGCATCATAATCATGGCGGACATTGTGGCGCGATCAAGATGATGAGTGTTCGAGAGCAAGCCGAGGGCTGGCCGCGTGGGCAAATATGCGCGCCTTCACGTGGGCGCGTTCAACCATCTCGACGCGTCGCGTCTCGGGTTGCTTCGTGCCCCGACCACCATGCATATCACCGAGCTCATCCTCGAGGGGTTCAAGTCCTACCCAGTTAGGACACAAATATCCGGCTGGGACCCCTCTTTCAACGCCATTACTGGTCTCAATGGTTCGGGCAAATCAAATATTCTTGACGCTATCTGTTTTGTGCTCGGTCTCACAAAGACGGATTTGGTGCGTTACTGAAATGTTATGTGTTACGATACGGTATACTTACCAAAGATGTCTATAGATGCGCGCACAGAACCAACAAGACCTTATCTACAAACGCGGACAGGCCGGCGTAACGAAGGCTAGCGTGACGGTGGTTTTCGACAACTCGGATCCTACCAAGAGTCCAGCCGGCTACGATCACTGCCCTCAGATTACTGTAACACGCCAAGTACGTTTTTGAGACTATGTGATGTGACTTGGAGACTCATGTGCTGTAGATTGCCATGCCCAACATCACGAAATACATTGTGAACGGCCACAAGGCGCAGCAACAAGCGGTTCAGCGTCTCTTCCAGAGTTGTCAACTCAACATCAACAACCCGAACTTCTTGATCATGCAGGGCAAAATAACGAAGGTGCGCATCCGTATTCTGTTCTAGCGGAGCGCAACTGACCTGTCAGTAGGTCTTGAACATGAAACCACAGGAGATTCTTGGCATGGTGGAAGAAGCTTCGGGCACGCGTACATTCGAGGAACGTAAGGAGAGCGCGCGGAAGACTATGCAGAAGAAGCAGAAGGATATCGATGCCCTCAACGAACTCCTCAAGACAGAAATCACCCCCACACTCGATAAGCTGCGCAACGACAAGAAAGTCTACCTTGAATATCAGAAATCAACGGCCGACTTGGAGAAGATAGAACGTGTGCTAGCTGCGTTGGAGTGGACAGAGTATCACAGAGGGGTTGAAGAATCGAGGAAAGAGGTCGCAGCGAACGCGGAGCAGATCGGGGAGGTGGATGGAGAGAAGGAGAAGCTGGAGCGAGAGGTGGAGGTGTCGCAGCAGGAGAAGGAGAGGGTCGTGAAGGCACGGGACAAGGAGATGAAGAAAGCCGGGAAGGCGTCGGAGCTAGAGAAGAAGATTAGGGACATCAAGTCACAGAGGGCGGAGGCACAAGCACAGGCCGAGGGTCAGGAGACAGAGATTAAAACAGAGCAGAAGATGATTCGCGGCTTGGAGGACGAGCAGAAGAAGGTGCACCTTCTTCTCTTCGCCACGTTATCCTTCATTGCTGACAGTGCCCCGACAGCTTGAGCAAGCGCTTAAGACCAAGGAGAAGGAGCTCGAGCGACTTACGAATGCGTATAACACGTCCAAAGAAGCTCACGACACCGCTCAGGCTGCTTTGCAGCAGAACGAGGACCTCCTTCAGACCCTGCTCACTGGTGTTACGGCGGCTTCGAATAGCGGAGGTGGAGGCGGTTACATGGGTCAACTCTCCGACGCGCAAGCTCGCCTTGCTCAAGCGCAGACACGTGAGGAACAAGCACGCAACAAGCTCAGTATGCAGCAGAAGGAGTTGAAGGGTGCTCAAGCGCGGTTCAAGGAGGTTGAGAAGGAGGTCGGGCAGGGTCAGAGGAACCTCGAGGCAAAGAAGGCGGAGCTGGTTAAGATGACTACGAGCGCCGCCAGTCTTAGGTGGAGTGCAGACGAGGAGCGGAAGCTCGAGACGGAGTTCCAGGAGGTGAAGGAGTCCATCCGTCAGAATCAACAGGTGAGAACGCGATCTCTTCGCTTAGTGGTCGGCGCTCATATGTGAAATGTGCAGAGATACGATCAATTCCGCGCCAGCTTATCTACTCTCAACTTCAACTACACGGACCCAGGTGGCAACTTCCAGTCGAGCAAGGTCAAGGGTATGGTCGCTCGGCTGATCACCCTCGCACCCGAGAACAACAAATGGTCGACCGCGCTCGAAATCGCGGCAGGTGGTCGCCTGTATAACGTCGTTGTTGAGGATTCGGGAACGGCCAAACACCTCTTGCGACGTGGAGTGATGCGGACACGCCAAACGATTGTCCCCTTGGACCAAATCCAAGCACGGACATTATCAAGCAATGTGAGCCCAGACATTCGTCCTGTTACATCACGCTGACTCCCTCTCAGCAACGCAAGGCAATCTCACAGCTTGCGCCTGGCAAGGCGTTCCCCGCTCTTGATCTCGTGGGCTATTCGCGGGACGTTGCAGGCGCAATGGCCTTCGTCTTCGGCGGAACCGTCATCTGTCAGGACGCGCCAACGGCCAAGATGCTCGCATTCCACAGAGACGTGCATGCGCGCTGTGTCACGATGGAGGGCGACGTCTATGACCCATCGGGTACCATGTCCGGTGGAGCCGCTCCCCAAAGCAGTGGTATTCTCGTTAGAGCGCAGGATCTTATTGCGGCGCAGAACAAGGTGCAGGAGTCTCAGACGCGGCTACGAAATCTCGAGGCGAACGCGCAGCGCGTTGCACCTGTTCGCGAGCAGTGGAAGATGGCCGCTGGCGCTCTTGAGGTTAAGCAGCACGAAGTCAAGTTGCTGGAGGACCAACTCGCCGATAGTAACGCGTCCAGGGTCAGTCTTCCAAATTTCTCACGACGTATTTGGCACTCAAACGCTCTGCGTGACATAGATTCAAGCCCAGGTCGAGGCTATTCAGAAGACAATAACTGATCTCGAAGCGGAGCTCTCGGACGCGAAGGCGAAGCAGTCATCAGCGAAGAATGACATCCAGCGTCTGGAGAAGGATATGGCTGAGTTCAAGAACAACAAGGAGGGCAAGACCGAGGAGTTGCGCGTAAGTCGCATGGCATCCCTCGCTCCTTGCCGCCCTGACGCTCTCTACAGGCCACGATCCAGAAGCAGAAGAATGCTGTTCAGAAGAAGAACGTCGACCTGAAGATCACTCACAAGGACATGCAGAGGGCTCAGCTCGAGCACGGTACGTTTGGCGTCTCTTGACTACTCTTCGATTTCACTGATGCATTTATAGATGATCTTGGGAAGGAGATCCGGGCAGCATATGCCAATGTGGAGACAGCGCAGAGCGCCATCGTCAAGCTACAGAAAGCGCTCGCTAGTACGCAAGACACCCTGAAGAAGATCGACGTACGTGTGTACCCAATTGAGCCACAGCGATAATGCTGATGATAATCCACAGGCCGAGATCGCGCGGGACGAGGACAAGCTTAAGCAAGAGAAGGCGGCTCTACACCGTTTCGACGCTGAGATCGAATCGCTTGAAAAGGCCATTGCGGATCATAAAGCACAGATGACCGAGCTCGACGTCAAGAGGCAGAAACTCGACCACGAGTCGCAGAATCTACAGGCGAAGAAGAAGGGCTTCAAGCAGGCTATCGTGGCCCTCGAGAAGCGCCATACGTGGATCCAGGAGGAGAGACAGTGTGTCATGATGGTGTCTTCCTACGTGCATGTTTGCTGATCTCGCCGCAGTCTCTTCGGTCAAGAGGGTGGGCCATACGAGTTCAAGGAGGATCTTGAGTCCTTGCGGACGCGCGATGCGGAGCTTCGCACAAAGACAACCAAACAGGCGAAGAAGGTCAACACTAAAGTTATCAGCCAGCTTGAGCGGTCCGTTCCACTTTTCTCACAATGTATACGCGCTGTGGCTCACACGTGCTATGCAGCGACGAATCGAAGGAAGCCGACATCAAGAAGAAGCTGGCGATCGTGCTGAACGACAAGCGCATGATTGAGAGCACAATCGCAGACCTGGACCGGATGAAGCGCGACACGCTGGCCAAGACGTGGGAGAAAGTTACCGTGTACGTCGCCACATCATTCCGCGCGTCGCCAATATTCACATTTCCCTCTGACAGTGACTTCGGTAATATATTCGGCGAACTCCTTCCTGGCAATACGTCGAAGTTGGAGCCTCCGGAAGGGAAGGACATCATGGATGGCCTGGAGATCAAGGTTCGATTAGGAGCCGTCTGGAAGCAGTCGCTGACGGAACTGAGTGGTGGTCAACGGTACGCTACACCATCATGGCCTTGTGTTCGCAGGCTAACTCACGAATTGTGCAGATCGCTGATCGCACTCTCGCTTATCATGGCGCTGCTGCAGTACTCGCCTGCGCCTGTGTATATCCTCGATGAGATTGACGCCGCACTCGACCTTTCGCACACGCAGAACATTGGTACCCTCTTCCGCACACGGTTCAAGGGCGCGCAGTTTATCGTCGTGTCTCTCAAGGAGGGCTTGTTCACCAACGCGAACGTCCTCTTCAAGACGCGTTTCCGCGATGGCACCAGTATCGTCGAGCGTACGGCCGATAGGGCGGGTGGTGCACGCGGACGATGAGAGGGTCTAGGGTTTGGGTCTTGGTTCATCGCAGTATTTGCTCCGCTGTCTTTTGCTTTCGCTTTGCGTTCACGTTCTATCATACCATTGTATACTTGTACGACTCGATTGTTGTATCTCATGGCATTGTCTTCTCTACGGACTTCTCTTATGACGTGCGATGCCCGATAAAGAGATTGATTGCGGCGATTGAGTTGAAGAACCTCTTGAACGAGAAGTCTGCGGTTCCGGCGGTGGAGGATGCGCGCTCTCACGTGTGGCATCCGTTAGCCCGTCGCCACCAATTGTGGTCCATTCCTCTTCGCCTCCTGCCACCACCACGTCCGCCTGTACACTATGACTCTCGAAGATGACTTATTCTTTGACTCCGACTTGAGCTCCCTCTCCGACGACTCAGACCTCGACGAGCTTGAACCGGAGGAAGAGCCCGCGCCGCCACCGACAGCCAGCTCGTCCAAAACGCCCGCGAAAAAGGCTACACCTGCGAAGAAGGCGACGCCGGCGAAGCCAAAGCAGAAGCCGGCGAAGACGACATACGTTGTACAGGACTGTCTACGTCCGCCGCGAAATACGCAGTTGTCCGTCAGGTCTTTGCATGGTGCGCGCGCAGCAATGTTATGCGTTCGTCAGACTGATCACGCTTTTATAGAGCAAATCACCAATGGGACTGTAGACTTGGATCCCGACTATCAGCGAGGTGCGTATCAACTTGTAAAATGCACTACAGTAGCTGACCGCTTCTCTAGATGTCGTATGGTCCGAGTCAAAGCAGGTGTGCCCTGTGGTTGAACCCGCGCATGCCCATCTTGACGCGCTGCACCCCTAGGTCGGAATCATAGACTCCATCTTTCGCAACTTCTACGTGCCGCCGGTCATATTCGGTGCGTGAAAGCGGTTCGACAGCGAGAGCAAGCTCTTACTTGGTCATCGAACAGCTGTATCCTTCGCGGATGATGGGACAGAGACCAAGGTCGGTGGCCGATCCCACATGGCAAGTGTGAACGCAGGCTCATATCGACGATTGCGCCTCAGACATGTATAGACGGGAAACAGCGTCTCACCAGTATACGGAAGTATGTGGCAGCTCCCAATCACTTGCATGGCCGCTGTTGAGACCGCCTCGCAGATTTGTCGATGGCCTGGTGAGCAGGTCTTGCATCCGCGTTCCGGAGCGCTGATACTCAAGTTTGTGCACGTAAGATACCACGTATGTTCATCTACAGATGCGCTCGCGCAGGCCACTGACATTCGTTCAGACAGGGACTCGTGCGTACATTGAGCACGCACATTCGACTTCTTCTTCTGACACCTGCGACAGAATCACTGGGAAGAAGTACTGGTATAAAAAGACGTCCAATAGTACCGGAGTCCAGCTTCCGAAAGTCATGCAGCAACTGTTCGATAACAAACAGATCACATGTATGGAATATGACCAGCTTTCAGGTAAGGCCCTCCCGTTTTCATTGCATACACCAATCATCAACTCATCGATTCCCCTATAGGTGATCAAGAGCGCGAAATATTCCAGGTACGGCCCCCCTTGCCTTAGGATTTCTGCAGATCCTAATTCTCCACGCCTCATGAGTAGCGGGTGCAACTGGGAGTCGCTCTTACGCCTGCAGGTGCGTACATATCACGTATATGCGTTCACCGACTGACATCCCATCCCAGAGCGCATGCAGGCCATCACAGGTCCGCGGGCCAACTTTATTCGCAGAATGATGGAAGATGCGCTCGGCTCAGATGGTTTTGGGGCGGCCTTGGACTGGGGTCGGGCTAGAGGGCGCGATTTCCAGGGTCTTGCCTCTATCATTTAGTGCGTCTTGAACGGGCGAGCTCTGTTGCTGCTGCTAATGGGCCTAACATATAGCTTAATTAATCATCTTCCGGCATATAAGACACCCGCATCCATGACGATGGAGACCTGGCTCAACAAGCAAGAACCCATTCCGGAGAGGACGCAAGATGACATCGAGTCTACGCTCAAGATCTTTCGTGCCCTCACAACCGACTCCAAACTGAACAAGGTCTTTCACAAACCTGTGCGGGTCTCACCGGTCGAGTTCGTGTTCATTGGCATTCTCGTGCACAAACACAAGGCCACCATGTCGTTGACACAACTCTCCAACGCTATCGACGCCATGCGTGCAGACGTTCGCAAAGCCTTCAGCGACATACGTACGAATGGCAAGGTATCGAAGCGCTTATTCACCTTCATCGAGAACAAGATTCCCAAATCCACGTATAAGGGCGATGGGAAAGGCGATCAGCCGGCTTCCAAGGCTGTTCCATTGGTGAAGGCTCCGCCGAAGAAGCGAAAGCGCGCGATCGAGTCTTCATCAGAATCGGAGGATTCGTCTTCAGAGGAGGAGTACCTGACCAAGGCTAAGACGAATGGGAAGTCTAAGGCTTCGACCTCCAATGGCAATGGGACGTCTCGTGCTGCCGCATCAAGGTCTTCTGCTGCCTCTACCTCGAAAGCGTCCGCAAGTGTCAAGAAGGAGTCGCCTGCGCCTGCGGCCAAGTCTGCCAAGAAGCCGAAGGTCGATGCTCCCGTATTCGCTGCGTCGAGTAAACCTGGTCGTATCAACACCGCGTTGACTGGCCCGTCAACCGCATCGTCTCTCAAGAAGTCCGCTTCGTCCGTCAAGAACGAGCCCGAATCTCCGATTGTGGCCACCAGCTCGTTTACGAAACCAGGTCCTGCGTCAAGTAAGCGTGCGGCGGCTGCGAGGGCAGAGCAGGCACGTGCCAATGAAGCAATGAAGCAGAGCGAGGTACGTCTTATCAGATAATCTCGTGATCTCACAGCGATTCTGATCTCCGAATATAGTCGCCCTCCAGCTCCGTTCCGAACACGCCCGTCGCGCAACAACCTGCAATGCCCCCTCAGATACCAGGCGTTACCGATCCCATGGCGATGATGAAGTTCCTCATGGAGTCGGGATTCCTTCCAACAGCGATGGCGAACGGCATGCAAGCAATGGGTACTCAGCCTAACTTCATGAACGGTGGTGCGCCATTCTCGCAGCCAAACGGTCAGCCAGGGATTCTCAATGGGCCTGCGTCTGGAGGCATGCAGCCCCCACAACAAGGCATACCGCCGTTCGCGCCCAACGCTTCACAGCCGCAGGCCGCCGCGCCGCCCTCCGGTCCATCTGCATCTCAACCTCCGCGCAGTCGCAACGCGCCCTCTTCCACCGCCGCTGCACGCCCACCTTCGTCGAACCCCCCTCCCTTGGGACCCTCCGCATCAGCTCCGTCTGTCATGCACGCGCGTGGTCGACAAGCTTCTCCGCCAAGAATGCCGGCGAGCATGATGGCAGCTCGAAAGCCCTCGATCCCAAGCAACTTGCCACCGAAACCCCCGACTGCGCCACGGCTGCCGCCAGATGATGTCCTATCGGGCTCCCCGGAGATCTCGCGTCGACCGTCGAACACCTCTTTCCCCTCGTCGACTTCGTACCCTCAGCCTCCATATCCTTCGTCGACTTCCCCTACAAACTCCTCGTTCTCCGGACGCGGTGGCTATGATCACGGGAACTGGGATCGCGGTCATGATCGCGATCGTGACTATTACCAGGATCGCGGTGGAGGTAGTGGTCGATACGATTCTCGACCAAACTCGTATCGCGACGAGAGGAGAGGGAGTGGGACGTATGGTTATCGAAGTGATTATAGCCGAGACTCGGGCTGGCGTTGACGAGCTGGGCTGTCAATCACTTGGTTTGGCCATAATGGGTTCGGACTGTAACGTTTTCTGCTTGTCTGTAGATCGCCCTGGTCATGCGCTTGTCGGGACCTTCTCTTCTATACTTGCACTCATAGCCGCATGTTTCCTGTACACGCACGTCGTAGCTTGATGCGACACCCTCGTAGGTCTATATTGTAAACCTTCTTATAATGCGTCATGGCTTTCGGTTTTGGTTTAGTACGAAGATCAGACGAGACTGTACTCTCTGCGGTGATAGAAGGCTCGCAAATGCATCGCTGTCGGCACATTTCCCGAAGAATATTACGAGCTACCCATATGAGTCCTGATGTGCCACAATTTTGACGGCGTCTTCGGTGGGCGCTAGCTTCGCGGTCAGATGATCGCGCCTACTCTTTACCTCATAAAGTGAACCGAGTAAAGCGAGTCCGCATAGGTCCCCCGAGCGCTCTGCTCTTGCCTCCATCTCCTCCGCACGCAAGAATGATGAAGCGTTTGTTTCCCGTCGCCGGTGAGCGCATGCCGCGCACGCGTGCCCCTACTGTGCCTAGGCGCCTAGGCACGCCGTTTAGAGCGTCCGTTGACGTCAGCTGCGGACTGGTTGAGCAGCAAAAGTCGGTGCGGGGCTCCGGAGAACGACATCTCGAACGCACCCAGGCAGGCAAACTCTACTCACGACTTGTATATACGCCTCTACGGCCACGATTCGCCTCACGCTTGACCTCTTCAAGCTTCCATACCCGCTATACCTGGCCATAGATCGGACATCTTGACCACACGCCTCAGCGCTTCTCCCGCTGCACGTAGTCTATTTCAGCCCGTCTCTTCTCGCACACATTTTGTGCCGGCCTGGTTGCTATCGAACCTCCACCATGTCGCAGCTGCTACGGCTCGTGGCCATGAGTGCTCTGCTGCTCTCAGCTGGAGCTCAGAACCTCTCAGACGCTCAGGTCGCAGCAGTCGTGTCTAATTTAGCATCGAGCGCCCAACACAGGTATGCCACACTCTTGAACCCTTCCAGAAGACCGTTCGTTGACTCTCGCCACCCTAGCTGGGAAATTGGGACGCGCGCACAAGCACTGCTCGAGCTCAACTCGCCCTCTCTGTCTGTCGTTACCGAAAGCGCAACTGTCCCCCCTCCATCCGTCAATTCCACGGTCAACGACACAATCTCGGATGTTTTGACCATCGCACGAGACGCTGTCGCGGCGTTACCCTCCGGCTTTGCCTCGAATAGCTCCGGCTTCCCACTAGTCAATGGAGATGGTGCTGCAGGCGACCCAGCCTCAATCGGAGTAGCAGTCCTATTGGCGAACTGGACTGGGCTGCAAAGCGGAGACTACGCTGGCGCTGCGACGGCACAGATGCGTTACCTATTGAATAGCGTACCGAAGACTTCCGACGGCGCCATCTCGCACCGTGTAAGCGAGGTGCAACTCTGGTTAGTGCGCCGCACTTTGCCCGCGAGCGTCCCGCATCTAACATTGGCTCTCAGGAGTGATTCGGTCTTCATGGTCCCACCTTTCCTGGCGTACTACGGTGTCACTACCAACAACAAGACCATGGTTGGGGAAGCGTACAATCAGATCAAGCTCTACCGGAAGTATCTGCGCGCGAGCTCAGGCGCGTGGCAGCACATTCTTCTGGGCTCCTCCAATGATACTGGTCTCTGGTCTACCGGTACGTTCATTGGGGATCCCATACTAGCCATATACTGACACTCTGTTTCAAGGCAATGGATGGGCTGCGGCAGGCATGCTTCGTGTGTACGGGACCATCCAAAACTCGCACTTCTCCGGCTCGTTCAAGAACGAGCTGAAGGACCTTTCCAACTGGGTGCTGGAGATACAAGGTGCAATGTACAAGAATATCGTGCGTCCTCATTCTTTCCTTTTCGCATGTGATTGAGATGCTGACGTCTATACAGACATCAAATAATCTATTCAGGAACTATAACGACAACCCTAACGATTTTGAAGATGCGTCATCGACTGCGCTTATGGCGGCAACCGTATACCGCCTGTCGCTACTGGCAGGTCGCCACACACACCTACCC